CATGCACAATTAGTTGATATAGCAAGTGAAATATGTGATTAAGTTATATCGTTATATCTAATGTACAATGTGCTAAATTATTGTACCCTAAGAGGTTTGATTTCCTTGGTTGGATAATGAACCCATTAGCCTAGTGTTGTTTTTGGAGATAATTGATCTTCATCGCTAGATAGTTGATTTTGTTTTGCGAGACTGAGGATGCAGTCCGTTTTATTTTTGGTATCTCGAGGTTGTACCGAGTACCTGGTTGTGGTTTTAGGGGTTCATGGGAAATACTCCTCTATGGGATATAGTATTGGCTTATTGATAGTTCTGATTTAATTTAATTCAAAAAGTGTACATATAAAATAATCTAGGATGTTCATTAACAAGTTTCCTTTTCCACATGATTTTCATTTCACTGTTATGTTATCATGAAGATTTTATAGTGAATGTGATCTATATAACAAAAAAAAAAAATAATTAATGAATTAATTTTTTTAACGGGAGAAAGGGTGTATAACAGTGAAACATTGATGGATCGTATCTTGGGAGTGTGTGTGTGAGATTGCATCAGAAAAAGACAGTGGCTGTGCGCATGCGCGAGAGGAAGTAGGGAGAGGAAGGCAAGAACATGGCGTAAGTTGGCTGAACACGCTGCCTATGTGAAGACAAAATAAATATATATAAAACGTAAAAGAAGGCTTGTCTTGTGATTTCGTATGTGATAGATAAAGGTAGGAGAAAGGCCTGTGGCGAGTTTATATCGTGAACCCAGTCACACAAAAAGGGTGTGACAAAATTGTTCCAGAAAAAAATATTTTTTGGCGGGCATTGTGTTCCACAAATGTTTAGTAATATAAATAATAGTTTCGCTGTCTGTGTATCTATGTATCTATGTATCTATCTGTCTGACAAGAACGCTCTAGAGAAAACACAAGGAATTTAAAAACTCTCACAGTGAAACGAAAACGAAGTATGACGTCATGTAGTAGAAAACAATATCAAGCCAGAGAGTGCACATAGTAATATGACGTCATTGATTCTCGAGTAAACATTGAATAAAAAGGAAATTTTGTCTAATCTAAATGGTTTGCGTGAAAAGTTTCTTGCATACAATTCTTCGGGTAGGGGCGAAGCCCCCCCCCCCCCCCCCGCGTAAGAACGTTTGAGCCCCCCCCTCCTCCCCAACTCAAAAGAAATTTCTTCATCGATACTCTATAATAAAATTACCGCCTAATTAATGTGTCTAATCTAAAAAGTGGTTTTCTTGCAATTTCTTTAATGCAATTCTTCGGGTAGTGGCTAAGCGCGACACCAGTGTTTCTTTCAGACTTTTTCCTCCCCGGAGAGGGGTGGAGTACTTGAAATTTTCGTGGGCGGGGGTAGAGTTTTCGGGGAGGGGGCGGACACTGGAAAAAGTATATAATTATATTTCGTTGAATGGGACGGTAGACATGTTTTTTGGGGGGTGGGGGTGGGGGGGGGGGTGGTGTGTGTGGGGGGTGGGTTTGGGGTGGTGTGTGGGGGGGTGGGGGTGGGGGTGTGTGGGGGGTGGGGTGGTTTTAGTTTAGAGAAAAGAGACAGCACTATCAGCCTAGCGCCCGTTGTATCCTTCCTCAACGGGCCATTTTTCTCGTCTATAATAATAGTTTCGCTGTCTGTCTATGTATCTATCTATCTATGTATCTATCTATCTGTCTGACAAGAACGCTCTAGAGAAAACACAAGCAAAATAAAAACATGCACAGTAATTCGAAAAACGAAGTATGACGCGGTCACATTTAGCATAGAGTAGACCGGAGAGTGCACACAGTAATGTGACGTCATTGATTTTCGAGTAAACATTGAATAAAAAGGCAATTTTGTCTAATCTAAGTGGTTTGCGTGAAGAGTTTCTTTTATACAATTCTTTCATACAATTCTTCGCGTAGGGGCGAAGCCCCACCCCCGCGTAAGAACGTCTGAGCCCCCCCCCCAACTCAAAAGAAATGTCGTAATCGATACTCTATAGTAAAATTACCGCCTAATTAATGTGTCTAATCTAAAAAGTGGTTTTCTTGCAATTTCTTTAATGCAATTCTTCGGGTAGTGGCTAAGCGCGACACCAGTGTTTCTTTCAGACTTTTTCCTCCCCGGAGAGGGGGTAATTGAAATTTTCGGGGGCGGGGGTAGAATTTTCGGGGAGGGGGGCGGACACTGGAAAAAGTATATAATTATATTTCGTTGAATGGGACGGTAGACATGTTTTTTTGGGGGGTGGGGGTGGTGGTATGTGTGTGGGGGTGGGGTGGGGTGGTTTCCTTATCGATACTCTATAATAAAATTACCGCCTAATTAATGTGTCTAATCTAAAAAGTGGTTTTCTTGCAATTTCTTTAATGCAATTCTTCGGGTAGTGGCTAAGCGCGACACCAGTGTTTCTTTCAGACTTTTTCCTCCCCGGAGAGGGGTGGGGGTAATTGAAATTTTCGGGGGCGGGGGCGGACACTGGAAAAAGTATATAATTATATTTCGTTGAATGGGACGGTAGACATGTTTTTTTGGGGGTGAGGGGTGGGGGGGGGGGGTGTGTGTGGGGGGGGGGGGGGTGGGGTGGTTTCCTCATCGATACTCTATAATAAAATTACCGCCTAATTAATGTGTCTAATCTAAAAAGTGGGTTTCTCGCAATTTCTTTAATGCAATTCTTCGGGTAGTGGCTAAGCGCGACACCAGTGTTTCTTTCAGACTTTTTCTCCCCGGAGAGGGGTGGGGGTACTTGAAATTTTCGGGGGCGGGGGTAGAGTTTTCGGGGAGGGGGCGCACACTGGAAAAAGTATATAATTATATTTCGTTGAATGGGACGGTAGACATGTTGTTTTTTTTTTTTGGGGGGGGGGGGGGGGGGGGTGGTGTGTGCGTGGGGGGGTGGTGGTGTGTGTGTGTGGGGGGGGGGTTGGGGTGTGTGTGGGGGGGGGGTGGGGTTGTTTTAGTTTAGAGAAAAGAGACAGCACTATCAGCCTAGCGCCCGTTGTATACTTCCTCAACGGGCCATTTTTCTCGTTAATACTAATAGTTTCGCTGTCTGTGTATCTATGTATCTATCTATCTGTCTGACAAGAACGCTCTAGAGAAAACACAAGGAATTTAAAAACTCTCACAGTGAAACGAAAACGAAGTATGACGTCGCCACATTTAGCATAGTAGAAAATAATCTCAAGCCGGAGAGTGCACACAGTAATATGACGTCATTGATTCTCGAGTAAACATTGAATAAAAAGGAAATTTTGTCTAATCTAAATGGTTTGCTGTGAAGAGTTTCTTGCATACAATTCTTCGGGTAGGGGTGAAGCCCCATCCCCGCTTAAGAACGTCTGAGCCCCCCATCCCCAACTCAAAAGAAATTTCTTCATCGATACTCTATAATAAAATTACCGCCTAATTAATGTGTCTAATCTAAAAAGTGGTTTTCTTGCAATTTCTTTAATGCAATTCTTCGGGTAGTGGCTAAGCGACACCAGTGTTTCTTTCAGACTTTTTCCTCCCCGGAAAGGGGGGTAATTGAAATTTTCGGGGGCGGGGGTAGAATTTTCGGGGGCGGACACTGGAAAAAGTATATAATTATATTTCGTTGAATGGGACGGTAGACATGTTTTTTTTTTTTTGGGGGGGGGGGGGGGTGGTGTGTGCGTGGGGGGGGTGGTGGTGTGTGTGTGTGGGGGGGGGGGGGGGTTGGGGTGTGTGTGTGGGGGGGGTGGGGTTGTTTTAGTTTAGAGAAAAGAGACAGCACTATCAGCCTAGCGCCCGTTGTATACTTCCTCAACGGGCCATTTTTCTCGTTAATACTAATAGTTTCGCTGTCTGTGTATCTATGTATCTATCTATCTGTCTGACAAGAACGCTCTAGAGAAAACACAAGGAATTTAAAAACTCTCACAGTGAAACGAAAACGAAGTATGACGTCGCCACATTTAGCATAGTAGAAAATAATCTCAAGCCGGAGAGTGCACATAGTAATATGACGTCATTGATTCTCGAGTAAACATTGAATAAAAAGGAAATTTTGTCTAATCTAAATGGTTTGCTGTGAAGAGTTTCTTGCATACAATTCTTCGGGTAGGGGTGAAGCCCCATCCCCGCTTAAGAACGTCTGAGCCCCCCATCCCCAACTCAAAAGAAATTTCTTCATCGATACTCTATAATAAAATTACCGCCTAATTAATGTGTCTAATCTAAAAAGTGGTTTTCTTGCAATTTCTTTAATGCAATTCTTCGGGTAGTGGCTAAGCGACACCAGTGTTTCTTTCAGACTTTTTCCTCCCCGGAAAGGGGGTAATTGAAATTTTCGGGGGCGGGGGTAGAATTTTCGGGGGCGGACACTGGAAAAAGTATATAATTATATTTCGTTGAATGGGACGGTAGACATGTTTTTTTGGGGGGGGGGGGGGGGGGGGGGTTGGGGGGGGGGGGGGGGCTGGTGTGTGTGTGTGTGTGTGTGGGGGGGGGGGTGGTTTTAGTTTAGAGAAAAGAGACAGCACTATTAGCCTAGCGCCCGTTGTATCCTTCCTCAACGGGCCATTTTTCTCGTAGTATAGATTATAGATCTAGATCAGGGGTCTCCAAACTTTTCAGTCCAAGGGCCGCATTAACTATCAAATTTCAGTTCGGGGGCCAGTTTCTTCCAGGCATGTCTTTGATTTTTCTGCACCAAGTTCCTCATCATCACCAACAAACGAATTTTCCTTGGACAAAAAGATCTCCGCGGGCCGGATGAGAGGACTTCGCGGGCCGCATCCGGCCCGCGGGCCGTAGTTTGGAGACCCCTGATCTAGATCTAGAAAATCTACATGTCGTAAGTGTAAACGCGCAGGATACCTAGTGGAACAGCTGACAAGTGTTTGACCGTTGTTAGTTTCGTATTTTTATTTTTATTTTTCGTATAATATTATAAGTAAATTTAGTCTAGTTTTTAAAAATGATGTTAATTTATCTTTGTTAGTTTTTTTTTTTCGTAGTTTTATTCCCGAGTGCTAAAATAAAAAACGTATCTCTGTGTATTATGGCCTTATCAACAATATGGCGTCCAAAAGGGTTGACGACGTAGGAGAACCTGCTAAAGAAATGCAATCGCCAGAGAAAAAGAAAAAAGAAATAAGAGTATGGATGGATGGATGGTATGTTTTAGCAAAAATTATATTTAGTCATATATTTTCTTAAATGCGCGAGGTTGAAGTTAAAAAACAACAACAACCCAGCTACAGTTAGCTACGAACCGAGGAGTAGGAGATGACTGCAACCAGTGAGGACAGATTCCAGAAACTAGAAAGTTAAAAAGCATACAATTAAAAATAAAAAAACAAACTAGATCTAGAGTAAAATTCCAGCCCCGAACACCCTTAGTCCGAAACGGAGACTCCTTTCCGGTTGGAGACACTAATTTCGTTACTATTTGACATAGAATATGATTGATAGAATGAAAACCGGTAATCTATCGTTTTGGGTACGTAAAATCGCCCGCGGCTATTAATGTACGAAAACGTTACCTCGTTGTCAAGGCTGTAATAGAAGTATATTGTGATATGTTTGTGTCAAATATTATAGATAAATGTGGTTTTTGTAAACTACATGGGCCAGAATGCATAATTTATATTTTATTTCTTGCAGTTTTGATATGGTCCATTTTGGACATGCTAACGCTGTTCGTCAGGTATGTGGTTGTGTTTTGACAAAGCCAGAGTAGCAACCAATATACATAAATGAAAATCTCCATCACTTTCTGTTAACATTATTTTCATATTTTTTGTGTATTTCTTTTTTAAAAATAAAATTAAGAATAACATTTGCTTACTTTCCATTATTTAGCTGTCAATGACTGTATTTTTGTATTACAAATAAAATACAACTTTTGTGTATATTACATCAGGGTAAAGAATTTGGAGACAAGCTGTTAGTTGGTGTTCATTCAGATGGTAAGTAGCTTCCTTCTGTAGTAAAAGGTTATATTGGAAGATGTTTAAATCATTTACAAGATCTTGTATTTTTTACACATTGTTACTGCTTTTAAATTGTAGCTGAGGTAACAAAACACAAAGGTCCTCCAGTTTATACAGAAGAAGAACGCTACAAAATGGTTCGAGCGATAAAGTGGGTGGATGAGGTGAGTTTTCACATTGTTTTTGTTTTAACTTGATTGTGTACTTTGTAATTTATTAACCTCACACTCTATCTATTTGTTTTGTCTTTATCGCATCGCTATTATAATGGTGTTCCTTTTAAAAGGTTATTGAAGATGCACCTTATGTTACCACACTTGAAACCCTTGAAAAATATGACTGTGATTTCTGTGTTCATGGGGGTAATTCATTTTCATTACTTAAATTAAATTATGTTTTAAATCGGAATTAGTATAAAGTTATGGAAGTATATAATTAAAGAAATACTGGTTATTAAAATCCAAATCTTGTTTTGACTTTTTTTTTCTAGTTGCCTTGTTTTTCCTTTTGGCCCTTTATTTAATAAAAGTTTGGTGAGGAGTGTTATGAGTCGAAATGTTCACAAAAATGTGTAAATTTATTATATTTTCACATACTGTTGCAATTACTTCTTTAACAGATGACATCACAACAACTGCAGATGGGGTGGATACTTACCATCTAGTGAAAGCAGCCAATAAATACAAGTAGGCATTATTTTATTCTATTTAAAACTACACACTAAATTTTTAATTTAAAAAAAAAGATTGTGGGTATTGTTAAATACATTTGTTATTTACAGATAAAATATAAAATAGCTATCAAATTCAAAGCAGATAGTGATAGCTAATCTAATAATTTTTACTTGAAAATTTAAATTGTCTTAGAGAAATGCAAAGAAAAGATGGAATATTGATAAATGTAGTGCTGATTTGCTTTTAAATTTTCTACAGAGAATGTAAGAGAACTGCTGGGGTCTCTACAACTGACTTAGTTGGAAGGTAAAACTATGTTTTTTATTTTATTGTATGGCCAGAATGTTACATGTACTGAAACACGATTCTTGTTTGATGCGGTGATATTTGTTGTTATTTGACCAGAATGTTGCTTGTGACCAAGTTTGATGCAGACACTGCAGTGATATTTGTTGTTGTATGACCAAAATGTTGCCTGTGACCAAGTTTGATGCAGTGATATTTGTTGTTATATGAATGTTGCCTGTGACCAAGTTTGATGCAGTGATATTTGTTGTTGTATGACCAAAATGTTGCCTGTGACCAAGTTTGATGCAGTGATATTTGTTGTTATATGAATGTTGCCTGTGGCAAAGTTTGATGCAGTGATATTTGTTGTTCTATGACCAGAATGTTGCCTGTGACCAAGTTTGATGCAGTGATATTTGTTGTTATATGACCAGAATGTTGCTTGTGATCAAGTTTGATGCAGTGATATTTGTTGTTCTATGAATGTTGCCTGTGGCAAAGTTTGATGCAGTGATATTTGTTGTTCTATGACCAGAATGTTGCTTGTGACCAAGTTTGATGCAGTGATATTTGTTGTTCTATGAATGTTGCTTGTGACCAAGTTTGATGCAGTGATATTTGTTGTTCTATGACCAGAATGTTGCCTGTGACCAAGTTTGATGCAGTGATATTTGTTGTTATATGACCAGAATGTTGCTTGTGATCAAGTTTGATGCAGTGATATTTGTTGTTCTATGAATGTTGCTTGTGACCAAGTTTGATGCAGTGATATTTGTTGTTCTATGAATGTTGCCTGTGGCAAAGTTTGATGCAGTGATATTTGTTGTTCTATGACCAGAATGTTGCTTGTGACCAAGTTTGATGCAGTGATATTTGTTGTTCTATGACCAGAATGTTGCTTGTGACCAAGACCCACCACCAGAGAGATGAAGACAGTATAGATGAACACCATGTCGGGGCTATCAGTAAGGTTCGTCCCTTTATCAGCTTCCTATGTAACTGGCCCATGTTTGTATTGTTGACTTATAGATAACACAAGTCCAATGCAAACAAGTGTTTATTTCTCTGTTCATTCAAGTTCTTAAACATTAGTTATCATTAGTGTTCATTAAATCAAAAACAGAGTTGAGGGTTCATGTTTTATTTCCATCTAAACATATTTCAATACATGCCTGTTAAATGTACTGAGTTTTCTATATTTGTTCAGTAACTTGACTAGGTTGTCTGTAATCTGTCTTTGAGTTATATATTGATCACTCTTTAGCTTGTTTCTTTGTAATCTCAACTAATCTTCTTTGGGAAGTGTAGAGTATCACAAAATATCAATAACCAGTCTCTGTGGTGTTTAATACCATTGCCATTCACCAGCTGTTGAATGAGATTATCTTTGACTTCTTGCTTTAGAATCAATAGTTAGATATGGTTGTAAAGTATGTGTCATATTACATTTGACTAAAAGTATATTTGTTAATCCTGTAGTCTTGTAGACAGTAATACAATATACATTCATATTTATTGAAACACATGTGTATTTACATGGATTGTTATATAATATAAAGAATTAAATCCCCCTTTTCATAATTTTTTACCTTGTCTTTCACTGAGAAATATTGTTTGTTTTTCTTATCCTATGGCTTCACACTCTATATGTTAATCATTAATCACAGGAATTAAATTGTTTTTTTCTCCATGTATTGTGTTTGTTGTCATACCCCCCCCCCCCCCCTCTGTATTACATTGTATGTGTTTTTCTATTAAGCTACAACACAATTATATTTATATCATATCTTTATCTGACTCTACTTAGCTGTTGTCACAATCATTGTACCAGTATCAGTGTTGTTTCATAAACAACAGAAATTAGAATAGCTTGAGCAGCAGCATCATGTAATCACATCATATAACGACTAGTTCTATTGTTTTTATTTTTTAATTAGTTGAAATTTTTTTTTTCTACAATCCCACATTACAGATGTTTAGTACTGGAGAAGTGAGTGTTAGAGTAGAACATAACATCTTTTACTCAATTTGCTTTATTTTTTTAATTTCCTGCCAGATATTTCTCAACCATCATGTTTAGTGTTTGCTACTTAAGGAACACAGTATTTTTTTTTCGCTATAAAATCAAAATACTTAAATAAAACTCAAGGAATACAAAGCCCATATCATGCCTATGTGTTATGTTTTGATTTGCTTTTTATTAATTTAGTTACCTTTTTTAAACATTCCTTTCAAAAGTTATACAATATTTATGTATATTTGTATATGCAAATGTGTAGAAAGCTATTTTAAATGTTTAGATACAGCTTGGTGTATTTTATAAATCAAAGAAAATCTGTTTTACGACATTCACAATTAGGGTTTAAAATTTAAAGTGTCTGCTTATTCAGTAAAAGGACAGATTGGATAAACTCAGCAAAAACACATGTAACTTTAGACATGTAAAGAATCTAGTTGTTAGTTAACACCAACAGTGCAGTGAAAGTAGTTTATTGATTGCCTATGACACGACAGTGGGTTAGTTGAATTGGATTTGTTGAACAGCTGCTGCCAACATTCATTATTTTTTTTCCTCCTCTTTTTATTTTTCTTGATAAGAATTTAATACTAATTTTCTCCCCTCTTTTTTAACTCCCCATGTCTTTCCTGAAAACCCAAGTTATAGAAACATTTATTTCTATAACTATAACTGGGCCATTAGTAAAACAATAGATTTTTTTTGAAATTTAAAAATTTATGCATTACTTTTTAAGTTTTAGTGGAACAAATTATCTAAAAGGTCTATAATATAGAGAAAAAAGATCATTGTTTTAGCTGAATCATTAATGTAGTAAGTTCAAATTTATGATAATTACCTACTTATAAAAGTAAGAAAATAATGAATTGGAGAAGATTCAACATGACACAAAAAACAACTTCAAAAGTGTTCAAAGAAATGTTTTAATGGTAACTTTCCTAGTGATTTCTAACTTGGCTTTGCCCATACATTCTCAGTGTTGTGGATTTTGTGTATCTGGATGTTGAGATCTAGGCTAGTGCTTGTGATTATAAAATATAAATATCAATAAAAAAAACCTTCCTTTTCATATATCTACAATATATATCAATATTATACTATACACAAAGTGATATAAGAGTGATTGCATGCTTCTATTAATATCAATAGCTTCCTTGTTTTGTTTTAGAATTTGCACCTCCTCCAATTATTAAAAACAATTGCCCAAAACCCCTATTTTTTAAATTTTCTAGATGTATTCCTACCAAATAGCACAAAGAATTAATGTACTAGAAACCTTACTATGAGTCATTTTGAATGGAGATTTAATTATAAATTACTTGGGACCCTATACATCAGCATTATATATGTTTAAAAAATTTTGTTTGGTTTACACTTAACTCCATTTACTTAAACTGGAATTGGGAATTCAGGTTTGCTGTTCAATTGTGATGAATATTTCTTAAACATAAATTTATTCTGAAACACAAAACTGCAAAATTACTTCAAAATATGATGTAAACTTCTACTATTCACATTTCATGTATTTATATCACAAATATAAAAAGAGGAATTCACATTAGCAATAAAAATAATTGTCACAAACTAATATAATACTCTCCAGCTCCGCTATTGTCAAATAAATAAATCACATATTGATGTGGTTTTAAAATTACTCCAGCTTTTAACGTTTTGTAAAAACACATTTGCTACAACTCATATTACAGCACATGTGTGCTGTTAGTCTATTTTCTTTTTTATATATAGAAGTTGTGTTTTTACTTTTCTCAAATTTACCTATAACTCATGAATATCTATATTAGTATATTAAAGGATGAATGTTGATTTATAAATTTAGAATTTCTAGGGTTTCAGTTTTTTTTATATGGCCCATGGATGCAAAGTTTAAATAAGCTTAAATGCTGGGTTTTTGCTGACTGAAATGTGTATAGTTTTGTTGTGTAATATAATTCATTTATTTTCTTGTGCAGTGAGTATAAAGTTGTATTTACATGAAAATTAAGGAGCTTGCAAGTACACAATTGGATATCTTGAAGGAGTCATCAGTTGACTTTTCATATAAAAAAAATATCAAAACTAAGTTGGATGTTAATGTTCACTTTTTTGGCTGAGTGCTGAATATTATTTACATTAGATGCAAATCACCTTTGCAGGGTCCCAGCTCCCATAGCCCGTGGACAGGTGTCTCCCAGTTTTTGACTACCACTAAGAAGATCATCCAGTTCTCTGAGGGTAAAGAGCCCAAACCTGGAGACAAGATTGTCTATGTTGCAGGTGCTTTTGATCTGTTCCGTATCCTTTCATTCCTTTGCCTTTGGAGAAGCTGATGTATGGAACATTATGCACTGTTTGAGCCATTAAGTTTTACTTTATACCTTTATAGTTTCATAGTTTTAAAAAAATTTAAAATTTGAAAGATATTGACTCATATACAAGACAAATCACTGCTGTAGTAATGCCTTAACAGAATGTAGATGTTGGGCATGTTGACTTCCTAGAAAAAGCTGCATCACTGGGGGATTTCCTCATTGTTGGAATACACACAGATCCCGTATGTTTTTCATTACAGCTTAAAACTTCATTTAGAAATAAATAGTTAAAGAGTTTTCCCCTCATTAATGTAGTGTAAATATGTTACTGTGTTATTAAAATTATACCCACATTTTTTGTTTCTAAGTATGTATGGTAGTTTTATTACAAATTGATATTGAAAATTTAATAATCATTCTCACTCATTTTATTTAACCCCAGGCTGTCATAAAAATATTTAAAACTCTAAAATTCATCTTACTTCAATTTGATTAGGATAATCCTACTTTAAATTGATTTAATTAAGTTAATCTTCAGGAACCAGAAATTGATCACAAGGGGAGTGAACTGAAATAGTCTTTTAAAATAAAATGTAAATTATCTTTTACAGGTAGTCAACAGATACAAAGGGTCAAACTATCCAATCATGAATATGCATGAAAGAACCCTCAGTGTTTTGGCATGCAGAGTAAGTAATCAACATGTCCATCCTATGGATTAAACAGTCGCTTGAGAAATGTGTATAGTTTTAATTGTATGATAAAGTGTATTGTGATAAATTCATAACTTATATTGGTATCTCGATTGATACAATTTATAAAGCCTCCATATTTAATAGTTCATTGTATAACTTTTCTAAATGTGGTTTCATATTATAAAAAATGTTTGAACTTGCACACCTATTTACTGTGAGTTTTTTGTTTACAGTATGTATCAGAAGTAGTAATTGGTGCTCCCTACTCTGTGACCCCTGACCTAATGGAACATTTTAAAGTTGATGTTGTATGTCATGGAATGACCCCCGTGATGCCAGATGTAGATGGGGCTGACCCTTATGAGGTGAGAACATTGGTTCACTATGTGTTTTTATTTGGTTCAAGTTCTGTCCAAAAATAGTGTAACATTTTATGAATTATTTTTTGTAAAGGAACCGAAGCGCCAAGGAAAATTTAAAAATATTGACAGCAGAAACAATTTGACTACCCAGATGATTATTGAAAGAATAATTAAACACAGGTTTGTTAGCATTATTTACACTTCTCCCATTTTTGTTAATAGAATACTTTAGCCAATATATTAATTTATATTTCTTGTTCAATTGTTGAAGTAAAACCTTGTCTTTAAAAAAAAAAAAAGATGAAATCATTTTATGAATAAATGCATCCATTCATAAATAAATACTGGTAAAAACAATATCTATTTTTAGTATTAAGTCCATTTTCTAAATTATTTGTTTTAAAATGTGTAAATTTATTCAAAACCATTTTTTCTTGGGTTACATAATATAAAGTTTAGTTTTCGGTGTAATAAGTGTTAGGTGTTAGATAACTTTTGTTAAATATTTTTATATTAGTTTTCTCTACCAATTATCTGTATCCTTACTTGAACTTGGCAGGCTTGAATATGAAGAAAGAAACAGAAAAAAAGAGGAGAAAGAGAAAAAGATAATGGAGAGTATGAAAAATTCAGCCCAGATCAAGACAGGTTAGGTTCCTCATAGGCTGCTGACTGTACAGACAGACTGGAAACCATTTATACTAAACAAGACAACTTACACCGTTTTTTATCTATCATTGCCAGCTCAACTAAAACATTGATGTAGACAACTGTTTCATGTGATATTTAATTTTTGCTTTCATCCATTGATTTACCAGTGGTTTGTTATTGTGTTTAATAACAGGTTACCACCACAACTAACGAGATGTTCAATGGCATTTTGTTCAAGTATTTTGCTTGAAGGTTTAATTGTGGGCTGCTATATGGGTTCAGACCTTTTAAAGTTGTTTTTGAGTTAAACAAGAAAACTATTGTTTTTTTTTTTTATTTTTAAATATTTATCTGTTGTGTACATTATGCAAAATTATTATTTACCAATATACATTTTTATATTTATTCAAACATTTTCAGCTGTTCATTCGTTTTTAAGGAAAAATTATTTATTTATAAAAAAAATAACTATATTTAAATATAAAATATAATGTAATTTTTGTAGTTCTTAATATGAATTTTTAAAGATGTATCTATTATTTCCAACTTTTAAAACATAAAGTTCTGTCAACTAGTTTCATAATTAACCTCAATTTAAAAAAAAAATGTTTTTAATTTATTGCATGTCAAAAAATATTCACAATATTTGTTTACCATACTTCATTTTAGCGTAAGTGTTTAATCTTGCTTTGATGTTAGTGAACTCATTACTTTATAATACACACAAAGTATTAAGAAAGGCAGTGATTGTGTCCCCCAAGCTGGATAATTACAATGTAATTACGACTAAGGAAAATGTTGAAGTTTGTGAATGATGAACATGTGATATTTAAGAGTGACTTTTGTGAATAGGATATGAAAGGTTTTTTTTTTAATTTATGAAAACTATGGCTTGTAGATTTAATTAATTACTTATAGATTGGGACTGGATGAAAATTGATTTTGTTAGCTAGTCTGGTTAGTGATGGAAAGATTTGAGTGCACATGGCAAATAAAACAAATGTAAACTGGAAACTTTGTAACACTAACCAGAGGTTCAACTTAAGACTGTGGGTGTCTTCATTAAATGGTGTTTATCAATTTCTTGTTACAAATAATAAAGTTGTACACATTTTGAAATTGTTTCTATCATTCATTTTATTTATTATTGACAAATTAAAAAGAAACCATATTTTAATATGTATTTACACAACTGGTAAGTCCGTGGGCTTGCATGCCTCTCTGTAAGCCTGTACGGAATTATATTTTTTCTGATATCCAAATTGCACCCTTGCAGCCAATCTTGATAGCTTCAGTCAATGCTTTGTAAAATGGGGCCTAGAAAAAAAAGTTCCATTGCTGAACTAGAGCAGTGAAAAAACCACAATGCTTAAAACAACAAAACTAAAAGAACTAACAACTAACCTGCTTTCATCATCCAAACCTGGAGGAATAAACTACTAACCTTTTCTGCATCATTTTCCAGTCCAACGTCATGGTGGTGAAGTTCTTCATCTCGAAACTTTTTAACAATCTAAATGAACAAACAGTGCAGCATGATAAATTACCTAATCAATTTTTATAAATTGTTGTATTTATAAGGTTTATTTCTTTTGCTGCATGGTTAATACTTCTCTGATTGGCACCTAACATTAATTAAAAAAATAAAATCCGACAGGCACTAAGATAGCTAGCAATTAATGGATTTGCAAAATGGAAAGCAAGCCTTGCACTGAGGCTATGATTAATCTCTTGATGTAATTTTAACCCTTTGTGTTATAACACATCACTGAGTGTTACTGGTATCTACCTCTAATAGTTCCTTGTGTTTCTCTGGGTTGTCCTCAACAAGTTGTCTGATCTGGCTGTTGTAATGGTCTCCTATGACATCCTCTACAGCTACTGTACAGGCCATTGCAGCTTCTTTCCCCAACAGAGCTGTGCCTGCACCTGAAACAATGAGCAGGCTAATTGGTACATTTATTTGAGGCTAACTCAAACACATTTAAAATATGCTGAAACAATGAGCAGGCTAGTTGGTACATTTATTTAAGGCTAACTCAAACACATTTAAAATATGCTGAAACATCGAGTAGGACAGTAGGCATGCCTCAATTGTTAAAGAGAAATAAATAAAAAAATGCGCCAAAGACCTAATAGTAGTTTATTTAAATGAAATTTAAAATGCACCCAGAAAAACGCTGTAATACTAGGTTTAGTAGTGGCTACTTGATGGGTTAGTTATTTTGTGTGGTGAATTAATTTACAGAGGCTCTACTAAATTATTGTTCTTCAATAATAATGAAAGTCTTTTTGTAAGATATAATACACATTAAGAAAATGACGAGTTTCTTCATCATGGGTGATAAGTTTTTCTAACTTAATTAGAACAGTAATATACATGAATTCAACTTGTGGTGTCACAATAACATTACTCACTATTTTAATATTGTGTGTTTCAGATTGCTTAGTTAAAATGTGAGAAGAATTCTCGCTTAAAGATAATGAGCTGAACCATTGCTTAGTCAATTATATTGAGCCACTAATGAGAAACATGAAAACACAATGAAACTGGTGGTAAATAAAACAATTATGAGTATAAACCTAGAGCAAAGCCTGCGATGTTCCAGAAGGGTAGCAGAGCTGAAGGGCGGACTCTGTTATCTGCCATCAACTTTTCAAATGTTTTTCTGTGTACTTTTTCTTCTTCCCACATTTCCTGAAATCAACACACAAAAAAAAGGTCTGCTCTTAAACTACTAGTACATGATTATATGTAATGCATTTTTAAAAATAACTTAGCAGCAGGCTTACAGCTACTGAACTGCAGTGCAGCTTTGAGATGGGATTGAACCCTAAGAGGTCACTGAGTCTCAGAGGCGTAGCGACCCTTCCCGGCGCCTGGGGACAAATTTTCAATTTTCAGCCCCTCCAAACTTTCGATTTGCACCATACCCTCAAACTATTTATAATGCAAAAATGCAGCTAAAATGACATTTTAATTTGTTTTTACAACCCATTTTGGCGCCCCCTAAGGTCGGCGTCCAGGGACATATGTACCCCCCTGCCCCCCCCCCCCCCCCCCCAATCACTACGCCTCTGCTGAGTCTGTCCAGGTATTATGGGTATTTAACATAGTCTGGGAAAGTGAAAACCATTCGACATAATGCAGAACCCACAAACCCTTCTTGCAAAATCAAACAGATGAACTTGAACTCTACTTCATCTATTCTAAATAGCATCAATGCTGAAAACATACTCTTTTAATTTTTTTCTAATGACCAATTTCTATTGATCCTCTCTGATCATTAATTTTCAGCTTTAAGCAAATGCAATTATTTTTTAAATAATTTTTTTCTACATTACATTTAAACTGAACAAAAAATAGTGTGACCGTACATTTATGAGAGGACCGACTTCAGATTTTCCCAAGACAGCAAGTTGCCCTGCATATATTCTGTCAGCTCCAAACTCTCCTGCATGGTCCACTCTGACAATCTTATCTATTAGAGCTTTGGTATTTGCATCTTTTAATGAAGAGCTCAAGCCGCGTAAAGGAGCTGTAGAAAACCTTCTCACAACTGGCAACATGTCTTTAGCATTGAAGAAAGGATATATTTGGTCAAGATAGTACACTTTTTATATTGTTTATTAAAGAAACACCCTATGATAAAATAATTGATGAATTCAGTTGAGGAGGTTGGGGCAAAGTAATTATAATTTAAGCTTTTGATAATTAGATTTTTTTGAAAAACAAAACGATATTTTTATTAAAAAATAGCTACAGTCTCTTGCACTTTTTAGATTATTGAAAAACAAAACAATATTTTTATTTAAAAAAATAGCTACAGGCTCTTGCACTTCACTATGTTAGACTTTCAACTTAGTTTTGTAAAAACTTAAAATATACAGAAGCATATTAATATTAAGTTCTAAAAAATAGTTAACATTTTTTTTTTTCTTTTTTTCTTTTGATGTTAAAACTTTTAAATTTAATTGACTTTATGATGACTTGCAAATGCAGTAGGACCTAAATAAAACATTAAATAGGCTTACTGGGCCTATATATTTATATTATATTAAAATTATATAAGCCTAGCATATCTTAAAAAGAATAATAAACTTAATTTTTTTTTATAATAAACTAAACTAAAATTCACAGTCACACAATGTCATTGATTATCAATATGAAAATTGACATAGAACTTAGGGCAAGCGGACTTACTTACTTAGCCAAAGGGGCCTGCTAACTAAACATATTATATGAACTAATTAAACTAAACTAGGACAGGATCAAGGTTAGAATTACTAGCATATAACAAAATTAACAATAAACAATATATAGGCCTATATAGTTAATAAGGCTTAACTATTAACTAAAAGTTAATAAATAATAGTTGGCCTATAGTTATAATACTACTTCTTTATTTAAGTTTTTATTACTACATACTAGGTCCTACTATAACTAAAAATATGGTAATCTATCATTTTAGGTACGTAAAAACTTAAAAACGGCTGAGGCTAAACATGTAAAAGAACGATGACTCAATGAATTTTAGTAATTATTTTACATTTTAGTCTTTTTCAATGTTATTAAAGTTACAAAAATGTGTCATTTACCTGTTTTAAACGATTTTTAATACAACTTTTCAGTAATAAGTAAAGAAATAAAGATTAACGATGTTTTCATCAGATATGTGGTTTATTATTCAATTATCTATTAGGCCTATATTTGACTACAAAATCCATAAATATACTAGAAATAACTACTATCAAAGCCTCTTTATGAGTCACCGTTCTTTTACTTATTTAGCCTCGGTCGATTTTACGTACCTAAAATGATAGATTACCTAACCTAAACTTATTTACTAAAATACTTACTTAATAGTAATTAGTATACTAATATTAAATTTCAATACTTACTTAGTACTTAGTTATACTTAGTAGTAATATATGGCCGATTCTAGTCGGAATAAGATACGCATGCGCAATGGAGAGAAACTACGACTTAGCGGCGATGTTTTCGATGGTACTGCGCATGCGTGTGTTTACAACCGCAGAACCCTAACACCAACCCTAATCCTATCCTTAACCCTATCCCTAATCCTATCCCTAACCCTAGCCCTAATCCTATCCCTAACCCTATCCCTAATCATACCCCTAACCCTCATTCTAGCCCTAACCCTAGCCATAGGTCACTGCGCATGCGCAGAACTATCTTTTGCCGAAAAATCTTATTCCGAGTAGACACTTCGGTAATATATTTATATAGTAGTTAGTCTCATATAAATTCAATTTTCTTCAAATTATAAAAAAAATAGCATATAATTGTAGAGCTTTAAAAATGCTATCCAACAGTACCAATTTTATTAATTTAGCATAATTGGTTGATTAAATATAATTTTTTTAGTGTCGCAAATAAAATATATAGAAACGCGACCAAAAACGCAGGTAAAAAGTCAAATTCACTTGTTTTAAAGCTAGTAAGCAAGAAAAGACATGATTCTTTCTTACTATTGAAATCAGTTTGCTTATACCTACATTTTTTTACACCAAGGTGAAAGTAAATAGTTTATATAAATTTATAAAATGCCATTTATTTAATTTATTGTATGTTTTGTGATGAATTTTCAATTGGAAAATACCGCATTTGGAAGCAGAAAGGTAAATTCTACAGAACAGATGTTGTTTGGAATGTTATAGATTATAGATCTAGGCCTATATCAAAATGTTTGTTTAATAAAATTCAATTAGAGTCCACCCATTTCTGATGGGTACCTGATATACATTGGGGAAATTAAAGGTAAAAAGTAAAGGCGGCTGTGAATATCGCTGACCACACGGACAATCACTTCATATGCCGAGGTCAAGAAACATGAACTCTACTTCATCTGCCAAATAGATTGCTTTGTCTACAGAGGAATCTTAATTAATGTTTACAGGGGCCTAATAAAATTGAGTTATGTTTGTAAAAACAGTAGGCCTAAGCTTTAAAAACTTATTTTGGTCAATATCGGAAAAAATAAAAATCTTTTCGACTAAATGGGTTGAAAAAAGCTTTGAATTTGTTTCATTGTTTGTTATTATATCTTGTAGTATTTAGTTAGAATTGAAGCTTTCTTTCTTAATTACAAGTTGTATTAATTTCAAATCTTAATGTAATTTCTTTTTAATTCAGTATTAGCCTAAATGTAAGGTAGGCTACAGAATTCAGATATTACCTATGGTTTTGTGATTTTTATATGTTTATAACATTTGTGTTTATGAAATGACCTAATGAAGTTATCAAGCAAACTGTTTTATTATTATTTTAATAGGCCTGCAAGTTATAAGTACAAAATATAGATATCTAATCACTAGATTTAGGTCTAAGTTTAAGAAAAAACTACCAAAAGGGTTTGAAATACTTAAATATAGTACTAAAAGTAGCTATGTTTTGAAAAAAAAATATCTTAAACTGGAGACATTCAATTTAAAAGTCATTATAAAAACTCCACGATCTAGATTTATTTCTAGATCTCTAGTAGGAATACAGATTTAGAGGCTTTCCCATCAGTATCAATGTACTATCTTAGCTATGTGGGAGGTCAGTACGAGTTCACTGGGAAAAAAAATCGGATCTGCCGTAGGGGGGTGGGTTTAGTGCGCAAATGCTCCTGACCGATTGCCAAAAGCTACAGAAATTCTAAAGATACATTTTAAAAGAAAAATGGACGGCTGAACTGCAGTTATCAAAATATCTGTGTAAGTAGAAGTATAAATAATAATATTTTACACAAATATAGCTGTCTTTTGCTAAATCTAGCTCAATTTCCACGAAAATCGCATCCGGTCGCAATAATTTTTATATCAGCTTGTCGGCCATTCAACGATCTATCACGTGTAGCAGACGCCAAACAGATTTACCCGTATGGTATTGCGCGAATGCTATTTTTAGCAACAGTGCCGAGACGCGATCGAAAAAAACGAACTAGAAAGTAGGCATTCCATTAAAAAAATTAAAATTGGCTAATTAAATGTATGAGCATTGCAAAAATATTGTGCTTGATGTAACTAGAATAACACTGAAAAAATTTTCTTTCTAGCTTCAGTAGTTTTTTTTTTATAAATTTTTTACGTAATGGGTGAATGTCCACTATATTTCTTTGTAAGTCATGAAAATCACTGTCCCCTAACTTTGAAATAGCACTGCTCAGTTATTTTTAAAGATACAATGTTAAAACTTTGCAGGATCTTACTTCAGCATGTTAGAATAACATATATTAATTGAAATCATTAAGTCATTCACTGGGAGCAGAATAATTAGCATTCCTTTAAGGGATACATTACGGCTATTATGGGCCCTAATTTCTAAGTTGCACTGCTCAGTTGTTTTTAAAACTACAATGTTTAAACTTTGCAGGATCTTACTTCAGCATGTTTGAATTACATATATTAATTGAAATCATTAAGTCATTCACTGGGAGCAGAATAATTAGCATTCCTTTAAGGGATACATTTTGACTATTATGGGCCCTAATTTCTAAGTTGCACTGCTCAGTTGTTTTTAAAGGTACAATGTTAAAACTCTGCATGATCTTACTTCAGCATGTTTGAATTACATTTATTAATTTAATTATTAATAGACTTGCCAGTAGCAGAACAAATTGAATAAAAAGGTAGTAGGCACTAATTTTTTTTTAATAAATTAAACCGAACAATTTATCTTAGGCACACTGGCAAGCCAGGAGTTTTATTTACTGAATGGTTGTCTTTAAAATCTATTATTATTAGCAACACAACAAGTAGAATAACTTAAATAACATTTCAGGAAGCCTACACCAAATTAATAACATTGCAAGTAAAAAAACAACTCATCTCTGACTATTATCTTATTAGGATAAATGTTTTATATTAAATGATTCTCAATAAATAATTAAATTTACACAATTAAACAAAAAGCAAAGTTAATATATACATCAAAACAATAAACTTTTAAGGTAGACATAGCTTACATCAATACAATAACAGGTGAGACTTATACCAAGTTAAGCTTTGTACAACATGGACTACTACTGTCATCCTAGCTACTAAACACAAGGTCACCTGTCAGTAAATCAGTGACTAGAGATGTCATTGTCATGTCATAGTCAACACTGTCAGTTTCCAATTCATCAGGTCCCCAGTAAGTAATTGTACATTTCATTGTCTTAGTCTTCTGTTGCTTAAAATTTACCACTCTGCCAGAATACATTTTATCAACTCCTTCCTCTGTCCATAAATGCTTAAGTAGATGTCCTGTATAGGTTTCAGTCAGTTCAGACATAGGATTTTCTGAAGTAATATACATTGCAATGAGGCCCATAACTTCAGATGACGCAGATGAAAACACACTAGCATTCAGATCTTTAGCACTCAAAGCCATAGCAACCTCTTTTTCTAGAGCCTTACGGTTGGATTGTTCATGTTTCTGACCAGCTTCTAGCATTCGACGCATCATCACTGCTTCCATCATCTTCTTCCTTTGTGCTGCAAGTTCCCTTGCTCTGTACCCCTCTTTCATTGCAAAATAAACTAATCTATGTTGGGTCATTTTGTCCTGTTGCAGAAGCCATCCTACAGTATCATTTGTCCGTCCTCTCACCTTTCCGTCTACAAAACCAGCTGTCGCATTAGGGGCCCGACGCCATAAATAGTCAGTCATTCCTAATATTCTCTCAGCTGCCATGTTGTGTGAAGGAGCAGTTGAAGCTTGTGTCAACTGCTCAACTGTAGGGCTAGAAAGGTCGCCACTGGTATATCGAACAAACTGGCGGTCAAAGACCTTAACAATTTCATGTAATATTTGCTTCAAAGTTTGCTTTACTTTATCCCTGTGGGATTCAATATTGTTGATGATTGCTGTCAGCACCATGTCTGAAGCTGCATCAATGGGTTCATTAAAAACATTCACAGTGGGACATAACAACTCTTCTGGCTCAGCAGCAAACCTGTCCAAAACATTTTTAGAGCTTTGTATCACAGGGACCATACTTGACGCTGGTATTATATCTTCCAAAACTTGCACTGCCTTTTTAATTTGTTTTTTATTTTCATACCATACATGAATTATATGGCCTTGCTTTATGCCAGCTGCTGTCCGAAAGTCAGAATACTGATTAATCAGAATTGGTAAATCTTTGGCAGAATGCTTATCAGGGCTCCCAGAGCCTGTAGATTTACCACCTGCTGAAGTATTCATTTCCTCATCCATACTCTTGATCATATATCTAGAGGAAAAGAAATCAACATTAATACTACTGTAAAAGTAGAATTTATTGTTTTAATAGAGGCAAGTGTGTAGCATAATAAAGTAAGGGATAAGGAAATATATGCTTAAAATAATTTCTTTTCTTGAGTGGTAATTTATTATTGGTTATTAGCTTGATGTGCAAAAAAAAAAACCCACTGGCTTTCTTCAACAGCCTTTAACATATTTATACATCTTTTATTTTTAAAAGGCAATCATTCATTTGCAATAAACTCTACGATTAAGGAACAAGTGAACATTTATAAAGGCGACGCCGGCCCCCACGCCCCTATAGGCTTTCCGGTCTCGCCATATTTTTTTATTATAAAATGGCGTTATTGTGGTGAATCAAACACCCTTTTTTCGGTCAAAATACCACTAGAAAACGTACCTCAAATTAGATGAAATCATTATTAACTTATAATATACATAATGTAATTTTTGAGAATACAAAGAGATAGCTTGATAAACTCACCTTTCTATCAAAAGTTGTCGTTGAAACACGCACAAAATTAGACCACGTTTCGCAATATTATAACTTGGAGAAGGAAGAGAGAAAAGTAATGCAGTTAGCAGTTTAAAATCACACATTATTTCATTAAATTGGTGAAAAGTTGGCCCGACTACGAAATTGAATCGATTACTTTAAAATCCCTATATTTTCTCACTATGTATTTCAATAAGGAAGATAATCGACGAAATTTTACAATAGCGAAATTCCCCGGTTGCCGTTCTTAAAGCAAGATGGCGGCGATGCCGACATCGCTACTAGAAAGTGGCCATAAAAAAGCGGGTCAGGGGAGGTAATTCAACTCGCGTTATGAGACTAGCTACTTAGTTACTAAGTATTAGATTCTAAATCTAGTACTAGAGATCTAGATCTAGTAAGATAAAATTTAGTTTTTACCTGACTACTGTACAGTTTCTACTTCTTTCTGGTCAGGTCTGATCTACCCTTTTGGTAATCTATCGTTTTGGGTACGTAAAATCGCCCGCGGCTATTAATGTACGAAAACGTTACCTCATTGTCAAGGCTGTAATAGAAGTATATTGTGATATGTTTGTGTTAAATATTATAGATAAATGAATAATAAACCTAAATAAACCTAAATCAATGGCTAAATATATCAATATAGGTCCGAAATTAACTTTAAACAGCAGTGTCTGCAAGCAAGATTTGCTATATAAACAGCAGCCATTTGTAAAATAGAGTGACTTCCGCCTGAATCTTGCGCTATAAGTCTATAAAAATAAAATTTTAACAAGATGGCTGCTATAGTAAATGAGCATGGTTGCATCTGTTGGAAACATCGCTGGTGTTCATTTATTACTGAAAAGTTTTAATTCAATTGTTTAGAAACAGGTACATAAATGAAACAAGGAAACATTTTTGTATTTTTCAAAACATAAATCCTCCTCAAAATGTGAAATAATTATTAAAATGTAAGGAGTCACCTGTTTTTCACATTACTAGTCGCGGGCGATTTTACGTACCTAAAACGATAGATTACCAGTGGTACCACCCTTTTATTTGGCCTTAGTTACATAATACTCAGTATAATTCTATAGTTAGGCCTTGGCTTAGTTACCGTACGTCTTGTTTTTCTCAGACACAAGGCTTGTCTCTTAATAAGCGACTCTTTATAGATCTATCCCCAACTGTAGATCTAGTTCATAAGTTGATTTTTTTGACACAGCAAACATTAAATTTCTATGGGCGCAGACATTTTAAAACAAACGTAAAAGTCAATTATTTAAAAAACTGGATTGCATAAGCACGAAGTAAAGCTACAAATATCACTTTAAAATACTTACAATACATTTAATATATCTTACTTAGCCTAAAAAGTATATTAATATTAATTTCTCTATATTAATTATTTAGTTTTTAAGATTTAAAAATATATATTACTAGATCTAGATCTTAATAAATACAAATAATTGTTGTTTTTGTGTTATCCAATTCATTACTTTATTACAATTTAGGCAGTGACCTCTAACCAATCGGATGTAAATAAAACGAGATGTAAACACGTCCCCTGCTGTTAGATCTGCTAGATTGCTACTGATACTGATAGAGACAATGGAGTAACAACAAACAGAAAAATATACAAACAAAAAATACATTTTGATATAGATCTAAATAGATTCTATAGTTGCGGTAAGTCTTCTTGTAAAATTATAATAAATAATGGTTTAGCTATTTTACGGTCCAATGATTCGAAGCAGGCAGAAAGCGTGATTCATAGAATTTTTATAAAGTTTAGTCTTGAACTTGAACCGAGATCAACACAAGAGTGCGTCAAGTGGTTGACCTAGATTAAGTGAAGTGGAGATCCTATTTAATAGCAGTATGTTATCACGCCATGTTGTGTCATATGCTTTCTCACTTTAGTCTACCAGATTTACCCTTCTAAATCTACGTTCAAATTAATAACAGAATGTAAGTTTATAAACTAAGGAACAATAAAAAATAGTTTAAACTAATTGTATTTTCTTACATGAATAGCTTCCCTTGTACTGTACTAATTTTTAAAAGATTATTTTTTTTTAACTTTTAATTTTAATTTGATCATTTTAATTAGGCCTATTATAGATTATATTATCATAATCATACTAGTCTAGAATCTAGACTTTCTTGTCTAGTGTATTAAAGTTATGCTGTTATACAGTTATAGGCCTATTGATATAATCTAACGAGTATTAGCCTAAGTATTTAGATCTAGAATCTAGTAATATTATTCCTTGTTAAAAAAAGCTACATCTAGATCTAGAAATTATTATCCTAATTATAATAAAACACTTTTTTTTACTTTTAGATAACACTACAGTTAAAAAAAACAAGATCTACTCAAGAACATACCATCAAAAATGTAAGTATCTTATTAAATTTCTGCTAGATTTAGATCCAGATCCAGGCCTATTATAAATTGTTTGTTACTAGATTCTAGATCTAATTCTGGAGACCTAATTTTGAAATTTTAGGATTGCAGTGAATTTAGCTCTTATTAATAAAAGAAAGACTAGATCTTATATTCTAGTTTATCCTGGAGATAAATTACCATTGTTATATTGCAGATAATAGTAACAGCCTACTACATTTTAAATGAAAAATACCATATATACTGTATCAGCTAGTCTTACTGGTTTGGCTCAATGCAAAGTACAAACTTATTCATTCTGTTGTTCTTGCAATTGTAAAATTAATGTCATCAGATAATCAGTTTAAAAAAAAAACCAGTTGCCTTAATGGTAGTGACTATCAGCTCAGTCACTTTAATTATTAAAGTTAAAGAATAAAATGATTTGTAAATGACATTTCAAACCAGTTCACTTCTGTTGTTTGTGGCAAGTACAATACTTTATTACTTGTTAGACTAGGGTTATCAACTATGGCTCATAATTTTTAGCGCAATTTCCATTCTGGAGAATTGCGTTTATTAACCCGTCATTTCTGGATGTATGAATGTATGAATGTAATAATGAATGGATGGATGTGTGTCCGCAGCTTTAAGTCGTATCTCCTCCTCAACGAAGCAACATCGATGACTAGTTCCAAAAGCAATTATGTTAAGCAAGTTACGAGGATGAACATAGGCTATAAAAATTCCGGGTTTCTTTCATGGATTTCCCGGAAAAGCCAAAAAACCTAAAAAAAGGCAGTTTTTAGCCCATATCTCGGCAACCAGACCACTTAGTGACTTGAAACATGTACCAATCGATTCCTGCCATAATTTAGAACAATATTGCCGAAGAAAGTTTTCAAAAATATCCTTTCGTTCGGTCACAAAATTTTTTTTGAATTAATTAAAATTTGGACCGAATTAGTAGGCATTTTTTCCAACCACACCACACGCGTCATCACGTTCAATAGCTGCACCATCACGTTCTATGGCTTCGTCATCACGTTCAGTAGCTAGGCTCGCAATGGTTTTTAGTCATGTAACTCTATTGTAAATAAAACATGTAAAATACTGAAATTTTTTTAGCGCAATTTCCATTCTGGAGAATTGCGTTTATTAACTCGTCATTTCTGGGAATGTATGGATGGATGTGTGTCCGTAGCTTTAAGTCGTATCTTCTTCTCAACGAAGCAATATCGAGGATTAGTTCCAAAAGCAAATATGTTAAGCAAGTTACCAGGATGAACATAGGCCAAACAAATTCCGGGTTTCTTTCATGGATTACCCGGAAAAGCCAAAAAACCTCGAAAAAATGCAGTTTTTGGCCCATATCTCGGCAACCAGACCACTTAGCGACTTGAAACATGTACCAATCGATTCCTGCCATAATTTAGAACAATATTGCCGAAAAAAGTTTTCAAAAATATTCTATCGTTCGGTCTCAAAAAGTTTTTTGAATTAATTAAAATTTGGACCGAATTAGTAGGCATTTTATCCAACCACACCACACGCGTCATCACGTTCAATAGCTGCGCCATCACGTTCAATGGCTGCGACATCACGTTCGGTAGCTAGGCGCGCAATGGTTTTTAGTCATGTTACTCTAATGTAAATAAAACATGTAAAATACTGAATTTTTTTTTAATAAGAAACGTTTTAATAACTAACCAATGGTTTTACTAACCCTGCTCTTGATTTACGCTACGACAGAGCTATTTTTAGATAACATAAGGAAAATGCGCTAAAATTGTCACTAGACTTTTTTAATTACTTGTTTTTTTGGTAGAGTCCTGTGTTAGATACAATGAAAAAATGCACTGCTCTCTCTGTAAATGTATAGAGCAGTTACTTGAAAAAATACACTGCTCTTTGTGTAAAATGTACAGAGCAGTTACATGAAAAAATGCACTGCTCTTTGTGTAACTTTTAGGGAAAAGTTAGGGGTCATCCATAAATGAAGTCGCGCTTTTTTTGACGATTTTTACCTAACCTCCTCCCCTACGTCACGCATCGTCACAAAAAAACCCAGAACCCCACTAAAATGACGTCACACCTCAGCCTACAATCCCCCCTCAAAATTATTTTTCCAAAATCTTGTCTGAACTCTCTCAACATAGAGTATTTTAATCAATTCCTATTACAATTTATTAAAACAGTTTTCTAAAACGCGAAATAACGGCTAAAATTCGTTTTCCAAAATTACTTTTTGTTAAAGCAAAAATGTGACGTCACACCATCTGAACTCCCCCCCACCCCCTCATCATACGCCGTCACAAAATTACGGACCCCCCCTCCCCCCTACGAGTGTGACGTCATTTATGGACGACCCCCTTATGCATGCAAGAAAGAATGCTCTGTTTTTCAGTTACTGTTGAAAGAAATTAAATGAAAAGAGGGACAACTGATATAAACTTATATGTCCTCTCTAGTCTGATATAAGGGCACACATAATAATACTTCATTTATTAAAGTATAATTGCAAGTATTCTTCTGCTTCACTGTAATCATACACTCAGAACCCATAATGCTTTTAAAGTACATTTGTACTCATTCGTGGACTTACTTGAGTGAGTAAATGGGTTAGGGTTAGGATAAGAATTTGTGTTACACGAAACAAGGATGTAGGTCATCATAAATGATGCCATAAAACTGTAAGGGGGAAGGGGGGGAGGGGTGTTGTTACCATGTGCTCTATGGGGAGGGGGAAAAGTTTAAGAAAAGTGTGGTAGTATTTACTTTGTATTTCTCAAGGGCGAAAATGTGCACATTGTTTTCATAAATTGAGGGCTAATGGGTGGGGAGAAGAGAAAATGGAACCTAATGGCATCATTATTTTTCGAAGTGGGGTTAGGTCTTGTATTTATATGACTACCTGTCGATTACCCGGGAAGGGGGGGGGGGGCGACGACGACGTGTTGAGCTAAGTTGCTTGAAGTCATGAATGGACGACCCCTGTACAAACACTAGGCCTATCATTCCAACCAAAAATTAAATGATCTAGTTCTCTGTTTCGTTGCACGGTGAATATAGTATGCCACGTGATCTGTACCAGCCCTTTATGAGCGCGGTACTGCAGGTTAAGACAAATTGATGACGGTTTCGCGGTGCTGGGTGATCGCCCCTTGCATGTCGGGTTCGACCATTATTGTTGACCTGGATTAAAATCGTGTTTTTATTTTATATTTTTTTATTTTTTTAAAGTTTTGCCACCATACTGGGGTCTTTCTCCCTGGCACTGGGTGGGGGTCGGGTTGGATTTCTGGCACTGGTGGGATTCCGCTCCATCCAGTGATCAGAAAATATACCCAGGCAACGTTTTGTGAATTATTTTATGTTACACAGAGGATGCATACATAAAAAAACGTTATTTATATCCACGGCGATAAATCTGATCTTTGCTGAATATCAAATCAAGGTTTCTTTCATATGTTCCGATTTGTGTTTTTTATCATCTGAAAGATCTTTTGCCAGGAGTATCTCTATTTATTTAAATATTTTCGAGCCGGCAATCGGCTTTTCCCGATACATTTACGTTTTGTAGCCTGGAAGGATGCCTTGTAATACATCGATTGTACAGAGCAACAGATATATTTTCCCACACATTTGTGTGTGGGGGAGAGGGGGGGTAAAAAATATTTTCTCTGATCAATCTGGACAGTTTATCACGTTGTGTGTTGTTTTCGGTAAATTGCCGGGGTTGTTTTTTAGATGTCTGGGTTATATGGATTATGATTTTTTTTTTCTTTTCGGTGCGAGTTCACTCGGCAAGCTTGCTGCTGAACGAATGCAGCGGCTCCATTAATCATTAATGGAATAGACACAGGTCTTTCAAGGTTGATCTTAGATG